TCACCAGACCAAAGAGGTCACCTTAATACCAAAAAAATAAAAAAAATAAAAAAAATAATTAGTTATCTTAATTATAAAGTGGCTTGTAAACTGGCTATAAGAAAATAAATATACTGATTTTTAAAAATTACATTCAATTATAAGATGCTTAAAAGTTGATATAGTCGGATTATGAGAACAAATTAATTAGATTCATATTGTCCTATTATGTGTGAATTTAATTAAAAATTGTACTTAAATCTATGAGGTGTTTCTTTTTCAGTATTCATTTTGCACCCTTGTGCATTTTTTAATATGTTGAAATCTCTTAAAGATAAAATACTCAAAGATTAGATCTATTAAACATTTCTTTTTATTTTAAGCTAATAATTGGATTAAGATGCGATACACGCTAAATTTATTTATTATATAAAATTATATCATTATAAAATTGTATAACAAATGTTATTACTTCTTGTTAATAAGTGCTTCATTTAAAACTTAAATTAATAGTATATATGTTATACGCCAATATATCAAGTACTGTATCTAAAACAAAATTTATGATATACAGTACCATATACTACTAAATTAAATTTATAATATGTAATATGCCAATAAATCAAGGAACTTAAATTTATAATGTGCCATATAACACTAAAATAACTGATATTCATTTAAATATTTGAGTTCTGTAATAAACTTTTTATCTTATTTTACACCCCCTAAAATCCACACGGAACCCATTTTCTCACTAATATCTGGATTTAAGTCTCTCCGCTCTGCTCCAGAAATAAAACTTTTTGGTTTTTTATATGACTTAAAATAGAATTTTAAATATATCCATTCTTCAACGAAAAAATAAAACATTTGTCACAACATTTATTACCAATTTCAGATTTATCCCATCTAATAGGATTTATTCACCAAGAATTTCATCAGTGTCTTTAACTTTTATAATTACAATAACTTCCTTTTTCTTATCGCACAAATTTCAAAATAAATCAGCAGTAAACTCATCTCTGCTTCCACGAGAAGTAATCTAAATTCATACTTATGAGTAGTAACTTTTTTATTAATCTATGAAGTAATTTCAGTTGCATGTTCATTATTAATTACTGCTGAAAATGCACCACTGCTCTTGGTGGTAAATTTTGTACTAAAATAACACGAGAAGGAAGAATTGTTGATGGTATTAACTGATTCGGGTTTACAATTTTTTTCATTATATCTTTCCAAAGATTTTCTTTTAGAATTTGATGGTGTGGTTGTACATTATCAATAATATTACTACCAGATATTTGAAAGTAACAAATAAAGGGTAGTGTAGTCTTTAAAGTTTGATAGTTTTCGCGAGTCCTGTCATCAGGATTTGATAGTAAGCCTGGATTTAAATCGTTACATTTAAGAGAGACTAATATATTTTCTGACTAATATATTTTCTTGAAGTGAAGTAAATTATTTAGAATCTATATCTTACTTGAATATTTTACCAATATATCATTACACCATTCTTGTAATTTTTCAAGTTGACTATTTTGAAAATTTTTTTGATAAATATCGTTAAAATGTAAACAAAGTCAATGAGCTTTCTCTTCAACTAAGTGTGTCTCAAGAAGTTTGACCAATTCTTCAAGAAGAAATTTACGAGCAATAAACATGAGATCAAATATAAATGATGCATCATGGTTTTTTAGAATAACTAATCCTCCGTAAATATATCTTTATTAGATTAATAAATTTAAATTAATAAAGTTAAACATAAAATTTTTTTAAAAAAATAATATACCATATCCTATCGTGAATAAGCATTACACCCTCTACCCCAATTTTTAAATGTTAGATTGGCAGAAATTGCAATGAAGTCTTTAGCAAAATTATTACTGCTAATCTGATATTTAAAAAAGTGGGGTAGAGGGTGTAGTGCTTATTTACGATAGTATACAATAAATAAAATATCAAATATCATATTTAATTATAACTTCAAATTGCTCGATTGAGATATGGTTTAAGTTAATTATTGTCGTAGCTGATGCTGAATTTTGTTTTATTATTAAATTTTTATAATTTTTGGGTGCATTTTTTTGATAGTTTGAGTAGAGTTTAGATTCAGGGTTTATTAATTAAAGATAGGTTTTAGTAGGTCTTATAGTTCTAAATAGAGACCCCAAAATTTCAGCATCATTTTAATGTTATTTTCATCTTTGTTAACATTTGCCAATTTATTACGAAAATATAAAGATTGCTATTTTAAACCAGTTAGTATTTAATATTTTACCAACTTTAATAATTATATATTATAATTGACAAACACACTCAAATGCCAATTGTGAAACAATGGATTAATTCTATTGATAAAAATTTCAATTCTTCGTGAAAAATAGTAGATGATTGTGAATCATTTGATAGGAAACAAAAATTCAAAATACATGGGAAGGTTACAACCACAATACATTTTGAATTTAATTTTACATAATTATTATATAATGTATATTTGCATGCAAAGTAATTAATTAATAACTATACAATTTTGCATTTATAAAGTTGGTTTAATTTGTAAAATTGTTTTTTAAGACCTTAGGGTTAGGGTGAAGCAACTTAAAAGTCCTTTATTTCTGAGTGTTAGTAAAAAAAAAAATGCTATAGCAGAGGCATTAGCCGTAGTAGAAGCATAAACTATTGGGGTATCAACAATAAGTCTAATCACAAACTTAGTCAAGACATATAGTAAAAATCACTATTGAAGATTTTTTTTGATTGATCTTTGAAAATTTCAAGTTATATTAAATTATTAATAAAAAATGCCTTCGCACAAGTTTTAATAACTCCTGTCATATTAATTTTTTTTAAATTCTGCAAGTTGGCTTTTATTTTTTAAGAGTGTCTCCATCATGTAATAATTGCATATTTTTAAATATTTAATTGCTTTTATATTTTATCAACTAGTATTTATTAAACATATATTAATTTCATTTTATCAATAATACCAAATTAGAAAATTATTGATCAGATATGAGCAATTAAAATAATTATATCCTTTTTTAAAAAAGAAATCCTTTTCAAACTCTATAATCTTAGTTGTTTTAGCTGTATAGAGACATTTTTCTTGTAAAATTTAGTATTAAGAAATTTTATGGCTTTTAATTGAAGATAGAAAGAAAAAATTTCTCTTTTATGATTGCCTTGCAATTATACCATTACTTGAAATAAATAAAATACTTTAAAAACTTGATTTATAGGCAATTTTTGGATTTTATTAATTAATTCATTTTATTGTTGTTCACTTTCTTCATTAACATTATATATTCTTTTGATTTGTTCAATCATTTCAATAAATTTACTATCATTTAAGTCAATAAAATCCTTGACTATTTGCTCAATTGATTAACATGATTGCTTTGAATTTTATTTAAAGTTGTGTCTTTAAAAAAGGTTCGTTTTTGGCTTATGTTTTTTAAATGGTTTTGTTGTTTTTTAATTTGACTCATTTTTAAATAACAAAAAAAAATTTTTTTTGCTTATTATTTTGATTATATACTACTGTAATATTCGTTATAAGCATTAAATCACCCAAATATCAATTAATAGAGTTATTAAATATGTATTATAAAAATTTCAAATAATATCTATGTACATTATAATAATAAAATATTAATATATTTAAAAATATGCAGTTATTACATGATAGAGATACTCTTAAAGAATAAATATCAACTAGCAGAATTAAAAAAAAGTCAATATAACAGGAGTTATTAAAGCTCATGCAAAGGCATTTTTTATTAATATAATAATTTAATATACAGTAACTTGAAATTTTTGAAGATCAATCAAAAAAATCTTCATTAGTAATTTTTACTATATGTCTTGCACTAAGTTTGTGATTAAACTGATTGTTGACACCCCAATAAACTATCCTTTGTGAAGCAAAGAATAACATGGTACATGCTTTGAGACATTAATTTTATTAATGTTAGTGTTATCTGAAAATCAACGAACATTGTGTAATATTACATGCAAAATTTTTTTGACATAATTTTAGAGTTGTTTTTAAATAATATATTTAAATAAGATTATAACTAATTTTTACCCATGGTAATATCACCTGGTATTATAAAATTTTTATTAAAATAAATTTATATGTAGTTAAGATTAGGGTTAGGCTTAAGCTAAAGTTAGGCTAGGGTTTGAGTAAAAGAGTTTATACAGTATATGTAAAATTCAAAGCTGAAAACTTTTACTTAGAAGTTGAAATATAGTTTTTATAATAAAATTTAGAGTTATTAAAGTTTTTTTTTAAATTTTTTCTTTTCTTCGCTTTGTTTTGGTTACACAAGATCCAGCGATCTGATTGGTTTTTATGCAACTAGGTGATATCACCTAGGGTGAAGGTTAGCAAAATCCTTTAAATAAAATCTAAATTGGTTAAATAGATTAAAATTATAGATTAAAATTATAAATAACTTAATAAAACTATAAGTTGTATTACAAAAATTATAATCAAGTTACTTTAAAAATAAATAAATAATTGTTTAGTAATTAAAATCAAATAAATAATATAATTTTTATAATTAAAATTAAAGAAATTTTTTACAGCTACGTATAAAGTCTTAAAATTTTTTAAATATAATTTTAAATATGTAAAGTACTAATAAAGTTTTTTTTTTAACAAAATAATTTTATTATTTAATTATTTTAGTACGGACAAAATATAAAACTATATAGTTTAAGATCTACCGTATTACCGCGTAATAACGCGCAGGGGTGAAATTATGAATTTCGGCCCGAATTAAGCTTAATTCGGGCCTAACCTCGAAATAACGCTCATGAGCGTTATTACGCGAAAATACGGTAAATATAAAAAACTAATATACGTATTACATTCAAAATTTTTTAAATATTAATATAAAACTAAATCAAACCATCAAACTCGAACAATATCTGAGCTTGATAGCTACGTGTAGTGGCAAATAATAATATATTTTTTAAAATATATAACACATAATGCGGATATTATTTTTTCATTAAATGTGTACATATAGAAGGCGTTTTCCTATAAAAAAAATAAATGAAGTCACTAAAGCTACTTTTTCAACAGGAAATCCAGACCAATTACCCGAAATTTCTGAAAAAATTATATGTGAACCTAATATATGGGTTGTTGCAGAAAAATAAGCAAATACAGCAAAAAGACCCCAACCACTACATTT